TTTACAGTACACTAGCAGATCAATGTCAGGATCACTATGATTTTTGTTTTTCAGCCACTGAAATGAAATAGTCTTAAAACACTCCCAAGTTAGAAAAATATGTCCCTAAGTATCTATTTTGAATAAATTTAAACCTCATGTATGATACTTTTAGCTGTCAAAGTATCAAACATTCATGATTAACCATTTTTTTTCCAGTTCAAGGTAGAAGAGCAGTTTAAAGTTGGAATCTTGCAAGTATCTTCAGCCATGACAGGGTCCATGCACGTCTGAATCATTTTCCCTTGGTATATTTGAACTGGATTTACTGGTAAGACTACCATATCCCTAGTCTTTTCTTATACGATACAAGAACTGTACAGATAAATCAAGCAGATCTGTCCACTCCCACATCACTCTAGCAACATTTCGAGTTATCAAGATGAATCAGAGGAAATCAAAGGGTTTTTTTAAAGCATAATTATTCAGATAATTATTTCAATCTTCTGAGGCTATGAGGATTAAAGACTTTCCTACCAGAAAACACTAATGAGAAAGTGCAGGATCAAGGATGCTATAGCCCTTCCTTTCAAGGCTCTCCAGCCAGTCCAAGGCACCTGAGTGCACGCAAGGACTTTTAGTGACCAGGTAAATGAATGCTTTAATGTACAAAATTTGTATTTGGGGATTACTCATTTAGTTTTGCAAAATAGTTATATTTTAGAAACACTTTTTCCTATTTCAGCTTTTAAGATTTATAACAAAGTGAATTCCTTTAGTATATTATGATAATCTGATTTATATCAAACTTTTCAAGAACTACATCATTTTAAAATGGAATGGCACTTTGAATAGCTCTTTAATACAAGAGTTTTACTCAAATACCTTCTTCTACCTGACTTATCTATGTAGCTCAAAAGGAAGCTGGATTGGGGTTAAACCCAGATATACTATCTCTACTGTCCTAATTCCCCAAACAACTGCCAATTCTCCCCCTCATGGGCACAGGAAGGCTTGGTTAAAGAGAAGATAGTACCATATAAAATTACCCTTCTAGGTACCATCAAATGTCACTGAAGCAACCTGTCCAATTTACATTCCAAATTCAGTGACACAGGTGACCAATAGGCAATCTCAGCCCTCCCCAATCCTTATCTTTTCTTTAAACAAAAAAAGCTTATGTTACTAGGGAGATTATTATAAGCCCACAAAAGCCACTTCACCAATTATACAGAGAATCACAAACAGTATGATGGAGTCAACTCATCGTTTGCTCAGCATTAGCCATAAAGAGAAAGACTTCCAGTTCCTAGGTCTCTGTTAAAACATAACAAGGCATGGACTAGAGAAATGGCTCAGCAGTTAAGAGCATTGGCTGCTCTTGCAGAGGCCCTGGGTTTGATTCCCAGCACCCACATGGTGACTAGCAACTATCCATAACTCCAGTTCCAGGAGATCCAACACCCTCTTCTGACCTCTGTGGGCACTGCATAACATAAGTGCACTTGCATACATGCAGGCAGTACATAAAATAATAAATGAGATATTTAAATGCTTAAGCCACTGGGAGTCTATGTTAAACATGTACTGGGAGGCACATTTACTATGTGGAAAGTAAATCCAGGACTTTACCTTTGTCGTTAGATAAAAAATTTCGTTTTTCAAACTATTTTTCTTTTTTTAATTTTAATTATTTTTTTATTTTATGTGTATGAGTGTTTTGCTTGCATGTATGTTGGTGTGCCCATGTTGTGCAATGCCTGTGGAGGTCAGAAGAGGGCATCAGGTCCCCTGGAACTGGAGCTATGGACAGTTGTTAGCCACCATGTGGGTCCGGGGAATTGAACTTGGGTCTTCTGCAAGAGCAGTCAGTGCTCTTAACTGCTGAGCCATCTCTCCAGTCCCTCAAACTATTTTTCATAGGATAATACATATCCTGACATGTTTTTCTTCTCCTGATATATGTAAGTCAAGTACCTTTAAAATAAAATACTTAGGGGGCTGGACAGATAGCTCAGTGGTTAAAAGCACTAGCTGCTCTTGCAGAGAACGAATCCCAGCACCCACATGGCTGCTAACAACTGTTTGTAACTCTGGTTCCAGAGGGTCAGTCAGCCTCTTCTGACCTCCTAGGGTATTGCACAACGTGGGTGCATTTACATATATATAAGCAATACATACATACACATAAAATAAAAATAACATTTTAAAGTAAAACATTTAAATCAATAATAAAACAACACAAAAATATAATCCTAGCACTTAAAATTTAGCAAAAAGCTAAATGAAATGAAATTCTGAAGATTTCTGTAGACTTATGAAATTAAAAAATTATGCAAACTCCATTAGCTACAGTAAAGGGAAAAACATTTTTTACTAGAAAACTAAGAAGCTGGAGAATGAGTCACTGAAAAGAATATTATGATCAACTAAGATACAGAAAAGTATGCTCAAAATTAACATGTTTAACAGTAATCTTGGATTGTAGCACCCCAAGTGTTACCTCACATACTGTGATTTATGTCACTGGTACCCCAAAGTTGTACTCAGAGGTCCATGTACGTATGTTGTGAAGGGTGCCTAAGAGCTGGACAAGAGGGTTTTATTTATTTATTTATTTATTTATTTATTTATTTAAACAATACAAAAGACATTCTAGGATTCCTGTATGTGTTCAAATTATTGTTGTGAAATCCTACCATTTTAAGGCATGTAAAAAGTCTAGACATTTAATCATAGCCTACAGAATTGGGCAGTTTACTGGCTAATATTTTACACTGGATTGAATTGATTATAAATTTGTATTTGGAATAAGCCCTTTTAAAAATAGAAATTGGACCCTCTTTAGTGTTTTACATTATGTAAATGAAAATACAGTTTAAGAGGTAAGCATATACACACATACATTTATATATATATAATTTCCCTCAGGGGTAGTCAGTAGTTAAACATTCTGCTTCCCTCACAGTCACAGTAATTTCTATTATCTGTCTGTGGGCCAAATCTTTAAGTAAACTAGATATAAAGATCTACAAAGTTATTCCAGTTTTAATGAAAGGAAATAAATCTCATTTTGCTAAAAGAAGAAAGAAGTTTAAGTCATCTTTAGTATCAGTTCTTAAAAAAAAAAAAAACTGGAACTTTTTAAACATTATTATATGCAAAGACTTTAAGAGCTCAGACTTTCCCGATATGAGAATTGCTAGAAAGTTACTTGAAATTACCCTCAGACAATAACTGTCAGTGGTTTTAGTTCAGCCAATGGGCTTGTGCCAAAAGGGGCTGACATCTTGATGAAAGGATCACCAAAAAAGTTGTGAGAATTTTTTCATGAGTAGAAATTTTTCCAAAAGAAACAAGCCATGATCACCCATTCTGCCTCCATCACAAGTGGACAATTGTAAGAAATTAACATTTAATATTAATTTGCACTTACTTCCCTGCCTTTGAACGCTTCCAATTTTCATTCTGAAGTTGGCATGCATGCCTGCCTTCTACAAAGCTCATTCCACTTCCCACAACACAAGAATTTCAGTCTTTGATCTTCTATAGGGCACTCTGGGCAGGGTTCAGTGGTCCTATTTACATTTAGCTCAAATTGCCACCTGACATATTGCAACACGCAGTCTTCATGGTCTATCTATAGTGGCTTACAGTGGGGAAAGTTCTGGGACTAGGAAATAGGAGGCAAGGTCATGTGTCCGCTCCAGGAAAATATTTAAGTAAATAAAACTACACTTTATTGCCACTTTATAAAAATGGCTAATTAGGAAAGTAATATGAAAGTAACTATTTGCACAAAACCCATTGATTAGTTTGATATTATGTTCTTTTGTCTTTCTGCCCTAAGTCTTCAATTCCATTATTATTAAATTGGTCCAAGAAAAACTTACTTTACTTGGTGCTTTGACACCCACTTGTTGAAATGACAAGTGAGGCACATGCGAAAAAATGAAAAAATAAAAAAGCTTCCTTCTTAATGAAAGCCAACCTGAACTCATTTAATTGCCTCTGATTCATTTTTCTCCTTGGAAGCTAATTCCTGGTTGTTCTCAAAGAAAACATGAAGCATATTAGATTCCATTTTAATTCACTAATTCCATCCTCTTTTGAAAGAAAAAAGTAAAAATAAATTAGGAAATTACACACTTTAAGTACACAAATAGGTGCTTTAAAGGCCATAAACACCTGCAGGAGGACACGCTGGGCATAGCTGAAAGTGTGATTTTCATTTAAAGCATTTCTATCATCTTCATTCATTTCAACTTTATTTCCAAAGAATTTTTTCCCCACAGATAAATTCAGCTACTTTTAAGGTGTATTTTCTATATTGCTTTATTTAATCAGAAATCACATTGCCTTCTCTGTGGATCATAATCCTTGTCAGAAAGATACATTTTTATTTAGATGTTAACATGCCTGCCTTCTAAAACTGAGATGTCTCTTTTAAAGGAAGTTACAAACCAGCAT